GTACAATCCATTGTATTAACTAAATTGATACTCAGGAAGTGCTACCTGGATGAACATACGTGTATAATAAATAACTCACCCCCCACAATTTCACCGTAAAATGTAGTTCTTCTTCTTGACTTAGAGGGTGAACTTCAAGCATGCCAGTACTACGTATCCGACAAATTGTTCAACTGCAGGAACGCCCAATGTCCGTCAGTTCAAGATGGCGCTCATCATTAAACACTGGTGTCGTTGGTTTCGACACGTATGTTGCCGTACGAATTACATGGTTAACTTAAGTCGCGTATGTTTCCTCCTGCAACATAGTTTTGCTTATTGTTGAGGGTCATATGCTGGAACGCCAGGGAACTTTTGTGATGGAAACGAGATGTCTGATGAAATGATTTTGCTATTCAATGATCTTATGTAATAAATTATGCAGTAGCCTTTTTCGAGCAGTGGAAATTTGTTTATTTCCTCTCTTCCTGTAAAACAAGTCAATAATATTCCGGCAACCGGGGTTTTCACAAGAATGCGACACATAATTGTGACGCCAGTGTTGAACTAAAGGTCATCCTGATGGTCATTAGCTTAAAAAGGTTTTAAAAGCCAGATTCACAAACTTAAAAATCTGGTTTGCTGTGATTTTATTCTGTTATAGCGATTTATTGCGTAACCGAAAGTCAGTCGTTATTCGAATAGTGTAGAATTAAGTAGGGTTTATGATATGCCAAGGATATACTGGCTACCTATGACAATGTTGCATAAAATGGCTCTATATCACCTGAAAAAACCCTTCTACTTTTGGCTTTATCATGTGTGTCATTACAAACGTCCACTGAAAATACATATGTGGGTATACCTTCAGGAAAACCCGTACAAGAAATATTTTCAACAGTTTATATACTGCACTCAATGTTGGCAATGCGCGATGCGGCGTCTCCACGTGAGACTACGGCATGCACAAGTATCGAACACTGGCTACGGCTCTCCACCGTCTTTTTTTGCCTCTTTTGATCAAAATTCGAAGCCGTAGTCGCAGGAGACAGGACCGGATAATGGCTACCCCTGTCATATGCGCCGCCCTACACAATCCCATTATTGATACACAGGCAGTGCTGGGTGAACAAAGTTACGCAAATGATAAATAACACCCCACAATTCCTCCGTGAAACAGTTCCTCTACTTGACTTAGAGGGTGAACTTCAGTACTACGTGTCCGACAAATTGTCCAGTCGCAGGAACGCCAAGCGTGCGTCAGTTCATGATGGCGTTCATCCTTTTAAGAGAACGACAACATCGGTGTCGTTGGTTTAGACACGTGTAATATTTCACCAATTCCGGAGAGACTCATCCTGTATATTTGTTCGTTGTATTGCAATCTGACCGCCCTTAGAAGCTAATGGAGTAGTCCTCATTAGGTATTCAAAGTTCGAATAACTCCGCCCTTTTTACAGTTGAAGAGTGGCTTTCTATGTGTGCCCCTCGCTCAAGTACTGGGTTGTCTTTCGGGGTTTTTTTATGTGTGTGTGTGGCAATCTGATCACATCATTCGTATACACGTCCGTATAGTTTATAGTGCTTACTGTTAGTTTACGGCGTCTTTGATCAGAAGTAAATATGTTAAATTTCCCGTCGTCTACGACTTTCCACGGCTCCAGCTACGGTCTCCAGGTCCCCTGATGAACCTCCATCGTCTATGGATATTTTAGCTTTTGCTACGAGAGAGATTAGCGAAGGGAAGGACGTAGCGGTCAGGAAAGGGTGAAGGGTCGTCATGCCCGAACCCCATGGCTGACTGTCATCCCTCAGCATCGTTATGGGCTGATGGAAGTTCAGGTGGAGGCTCCATTCAAGGTCTGAAGTGACTTCATCCACGAGGCATCCCAACCGACACTACTTAAACAAGCTGCCGTTTCTGTCCAAGCCAGGTCGGAGCATACACCACCGGCACCGCCAATCGGCACCAGCAACTCCCAGGGCCCGTTCGGGCCTGTAGCTGCATGCTGCAAACCCGGCCGGTTATGCTTCAGCCTGGTTACAGCCACAAACAATTTTCAGCCCGGCCACGCACTGGAAACCCAGCTTCTGGGGCAATCCTGATCAGTTGCCCATAGCTGCAAACCCGGGACCTAGACCACCATGATGCTCAATACAGCCCATGGGGTTTGCCTCCCCAGTGGTTGCCGGCAATGATACCACCGGCGAATCTGCGATTGTCCGGTACTGCCCCGACAACTTCACCCACCACAACTGGTTTACCGGTGTAGTCTTCATCCATCGCCACCGGCACAACTCGCACAGAGTCCGCTGTTTCCACCTGTCAGCGACACCGATGAAAACAACTCAGAATCTTCCGGTGCTAGAAGTTCAGCAATTTCCCTTCCAGCTGCGAGAAAGATACTACGCAATCCTCACAAAAAAGACAAGGGTAACCCCATTTCGGATGAGGTTTCACTGATGATACCGGTATTACAAAAACTGACTCAACTAAATTCTTAGGACTATACATAGATCACCACTTATACCGGGAATAAACAATTCAGTTATATCTCCATAAATACATACAGAAATAGGGGCATTATCTCAAAATTAAAAGCAATCTCCCCCCCCCCAAAAAAATTAATGACTTTCTATGATACTCTTATCTTACCGTATACATTTCATATGGCATTCTTGCTTGGGGCAACAGTAGCATTAGTCATCTTATCGAGTCCTTAAATTACAGAAAAAATCCATTCGGATTCTTAACAGTGTTTCGATTGTTGCAAATTGAAACTTAAAAATATTTATTTTCTACAGCTAAGGTCCTCCATATTTCAACTCAACAACAAATTAATTAAATCTATTTGTTCATTATTCATGAAAAATGAAGAAATCCATTATCACTTCACAAGGCAAAGCCATGAACTTCATCGATCAAATGCACGAACTACAATATCTAGAGCCTATAGCTATGGAGTTCAGTGGACACATCCTTGAATAATATTGTCAGTCTTTCTGTCTTCAAGCGTAAGTACAAAAATAAATGGTTGAATAATAATCTCGTAAATAACTAAGTTTTGTGTTTTTTCCACGGGGGTACAGCTCAATATCAACGATCATACATGTCTGTGTATATAGTACTTCCTACTCAACTTTCGTTACATGGATAACTGTATTTTCTTACCTGTGGGTGTATTCGTATACATATATGTATCCGTGTAATTGGGGGTCTCTACTACTAAAAAGCTATGCTGTTCAGAGGCATAGCACTGTATTATTACTATGAGCAGTTTCATATGGAAACTAAAGTGAAAGTGAAGTGAAGTCTCACATGGAGACGCTGCACCGCCTGTTGCCAACATAGAGAGCAACGTAAATCGTTGAAAATAATTCCTGTTGGGGTTTTCCTGAAGATATACCCCACATGTACATTTGCAATGGACTTCAGTAATGACACACATGATCAACCCAAAAGTAGAAGAGTTTCGTAAGTGATATAGAGCCATTTTATGCAACATCGTTATTGCAAGCCAGTATCGATATCCTTGAAATATAATTTTTTTATCGACCCCCTTTAACCATACTTAATTCTACACTATTCGAATATCAACTGGACTTTCGGTTTCGCAGTAAATCACTGTGACAGAATAAAATCACAGCGAACCAGATTTTTAAGTTGGTGAATCTGGCTTGAAGAACCTTTCTAAGCTAATGATCGTCAGGATGACCTTTAGTTCAACGCTGGCGTCATGATTATGCATTCATCATTGAATAACGGAAGAATTCCATCACACGTCTCGTTTCCATCACATAAGTTCACTGGCGTTCCAGTGTACGACCCGGAACAATAAGCAAAACCATGTTGTGGAACGGAACATACGTGACTCAAGTCAAACATGTCATTCGTGCGACAACATACGTGTCGAAACTACCTAATTCTATAATTGTTCATTATTTATAAAAAATGAAGAAATCCATCATCACTTTACAAGGCAAAGCCATGAACTTTATCGATCCTATGCGCGAACCGTGCAATATCTAGAGCAACTGTGAAACATGAGGGGCCTAAGCTATGGAGTTCAGAGGACATATCCTTGAAAAAGATCGCTAGTCTTTCTGTCTTCAGGCGTATAGTGCTCTGTATAGTGCTTCCTACTCAATTTTCGTTACATGGATAACTGTGTTTTGTTACTTGTGAGATATATTTCATATTTGAATAAGTATAACTAGGGTCTTTACTCCAAAAGCTATGTTTCTAGGGGCCTCCATACGTACAGTATAGCACTGTATTATTACTATGAAATGTTTTCACATGGAAAAGTGAAAGTGAAGTCTCACATGGAGACGCCGCGCCGCGTGTTGCCAACATATAGAGCAACATAAATCGTTGAAAATAATTCTTTTTGGGGTTTATCTGAAGATAAAGATCTGGACCGAAAAGGTCACACTTCGATGTTTGTGCATGTATGCTTCCTACAGCAACATACACACCGTTTTCGTGTTGTAGTGGAATCATTGGAGTAGTTCATATCACCACAAACGTCGCGCAGGAAGGGCACACGCGCGAGGCAATCTGCTTCGGTTGTAGACTGACTTCTGCATGCCGACAAGATGGCGGTCATCAGGTTCACAAACTGACCCGGTTGGTGAAGGTGGTGTTGATGGTTGCCCTACTCTGTTACCTTTCCATCGTGCTGGTCGGCATAGCGGCGAAGAATGCAGAAGCCCACCTTCCCCAGGACCGTCAACAATGGCGATTTCCCTGCTACCGGTCGTCCCGCCGCCCTCGCGGGTCTGAAACACACGGACAGCCGCTCGACGAGCTCGGGGAACCAGACTGAAGAACAGAAGATGATAAACTCATTAGGTATTCAAAGTTCGAAGAATGGCGCCTCTTTTAAAGTTAAAGAATGCCGAAAAATGTGCCTGTCGCTCAAGTGCTGTCGGCTGGGTTTTCTTTTTGAAGTTTAATGAGCAATGTTGACTGGCGGCGGTGACCTGCGACCCACTTTAGAGGGTTAAAAATGCCTGCAGAAATGCACTGACAAAAATTTAAAAAGGGGAGGGAGACTGTGTCTCTCTCCATTGTCTTATAAACACCAATTATATTGCAGGTAAGTACTTTACATAATTGAGAAATTATACTCCACCAATCCTGGAGAGACTCACCCTGTACACTTCAAAGCTGGTCGTCAAGGTTCCGACCCCAGAACTGCTGCTGTTGGTAAAGGTTGTCACAGATGACCAGTCTGCCGTTTTCGTGATGTCTTGAGCTGTCACCCCAGCATTTGCAGCTGCTGAGGTGGATGCAGCCATGGTTGATGGGTTTTTAACATGAAGCATCAATGCCTACCTCTTTGAGAACAGATCTCAACCATCTGGCCACTGTGGACGGGACTACCGGATGGTAAGGTTTGGAATATGACAGTTTTTTGCCCAGCCCGAAGCGTGTATTACAACACTGTATACTCAGTGTTTGCCCCCGAAGGATTGTGAAAAAGCCCACAAGCGTGCTCGGGTGGACTCGAACCCCCAACAAGTCCAATCCCTATTCACACTCGACTTCAGCCTATTGTCACTTAAAACATCCCCCTGGATGTCTGAAAAGAATTCCTGGGATACCAGTATAACAATAACCATCACAAAGGTGGGGGGGGGCTCTCTGTCCCATACTTGCTTCGTATGCCTGGTACCACAGAGGAAGGACACAGAGGGAGTAACATCTGGCCATAGCCTGGTATGTCCATAGCCAGAGCGCAGCGAACGCTTGCTACGCGCCATCTGTTCCACAACCACGTGACCCCGTTGTACGCTGTGATTGCCGCCGCAATTTGTCGATGGTAATCTGCATCCGTAAAACTTCGCGTACTGAGGTAAAGGAAATTGAATATTCGTGCCTTTGTTGGTGCTTGGTATGATGTCATGACAACATCAAGTTTAATGTTTGCGCAGTTCCTTGCATTACGTTGTACGTGTGCCCTAAATCTATGTGCAGTCATTGCCCTTAATGAACTCATTCTTCTGGAGTTATTTTGGGAATAAATAGACCGGTTGTTTACAAGATTTTGTGTTTTGTTTGAATTATTTTTATATGGCATTTGTACAAAAGCGTGTTTTATGAGATTTCACGATCACTCCCGGTGATGAAACAGCGCATTTCGTTTCTAATGAACTAAGCTTTCCAGTAGTAGTTAACATTTTGTTGGCCAGTCTTAGCAAATTTCTTACCAAGTCTTTGAACACTGCTGTATAGAGGGATCCCAATCCGATGCTTTTAGTGTCGATCTGCGCACTTCCGCGTTTGAAAACGAGGCTGTATGTGTCAGCTTCAATTCTTAATACGATCAGACGATTGGAAGTAAGGAGTTAAGACACAAAATACATGAAGGTATGTTAAATTCAGACTTTTCAGGCTCCAAACTTTTGTGGAAGAGCCTTCCAGGATGACTCGACGCATGAAATCAAAGGAAAAAACAATGACAATTTACCGCGAACTGACGTACCTGCTGTGGCCGTGTATCTTGTGCAGTGGGCGTGGTTTAAACTGAAGTGGTATCACACTTACGAACCGGAATACTGCATGTACTGTGTGGACTCAGCGGGCGGGTGGGCGCGCGCGACGAAGTTCAACACAGAGAGCCTCGGTTTCGATGCGGATATGCGCAGACGGGGCTAATGTGAAATCCATCTATTGGACGGAGGAGAATAAAATCACAAAATTTGCATAGATAATGAACAGTGCATCAAAAATTTAAAGTTTATTTACGATGGCAAAAGTAGGTCCGGTATCAGGAATTTTTCTCTCTCTGTTTCCTGGTCACTTCGATAATTTGTATACAATTTCAAGCACAAAACTACAAGTATTACCAGGATATTACAGGCCCCGTTTGTCCGGCTAAGTTGCAGGCAGTAATCAGGCATTTTTGGAATGTTCTATTATTTGTCTGACTCGGGGGGCGACCATCATTAAANAAGCGTTTAATGCAAAATCGACGTAATGTTTGAAGGGGCGTGGTGCATTTGCATAAGAAGGCATGTGTGAGTTGAAAGGAGACAAAGGCATTGAACTTGAGACTACGCGCAGTCAAGATGGAGCTGGGTGATATCTCTGAATTAGTCCAGGCAAAGAACGAAGAAAACCGAGCAATTCTTTGGGTCAAGTTGGTTTAGCTTATGGCCAACAAGTTGACAGTTTTCCCAGCGAATTGAGTGACGTTCAGGTCGTCAAAATGGAGCGATTACGAGCTCCCCGCCTTTCCCGAAACAGAAGACATAGAAAATTATGTCCGCCTGAGATAATCCAGGTTTCGTGGTTTCTGAAATCGAGAAACTGCTGACTAAAGGTTGTATTGTTGAAGTTGCCTAGAAACCGTTAGACTTGAATCACGTCGGACTTACTTTGCTCTTCAGTTCCCTAGCTAGCCATCCCTTCAGCCGGTACGCTCTACACTGTCGCGCTCGGCCCGGCAGCGGGATCCCAATACGACGCTTTTAGCGTCGATCTGCGCACTTCCGCGTTTGAAAACGAGGCTGTATGTGTCAGCTTCAATTCTTAATACGATCAGACTATTGGAAGTAAGGAGTCAAGACACAAAATACATAAAGGTATGTTAAATTCAGACTTTTCAGGCTCCAAATTTTTGTTGAAGAGCCTTTGACTGGACGCTTAAAATCAAAGGAAAAAACAATGGCAATTTACCGCGAACTAACGTACCTGCGATGGTCGTGTATCTGCATGTGCAGTGGGCGTGGTTTAAACTGCAGTGGTATCACACTTATGAACCGGATACTGCATGTACTGTGTGGACTCCGCGGGCGCGCGCGAGCAAATTCAACACAGAGAGCCTCAGTTTCAATGCGAATATGCGCAGACGGGGCTAATGTGACATCCATCTATTGGACGGAGGAGAATAAAATCACAAAATTTGCATAGATAATGAACAGTGCATCAAAAATTTAAAGTTTATTTACGATGGCAAAAGTAGGTCCGGTATCAGGAATTTTTCTCTCTCTGTTTCCTGGTCACATCGATAATTTGTATACAATTTCAAGCACAAAACTACAAGAATTGCCAGGATATTACTGGCCCTGTTTGTCCAGCTAAGTTGCAGGCAGTAATCAGGCATTTTTGGAATGTTCTATTATTTGTCTGACTCGGAGGGCGACCATCATTAAT